CAACTTTAAGACTTGTGGACTTCAACTCCCAGAATTCCTCAGCCAGCTTTGCTGGCTGAGGAATTCTGGGAGTTGAAGTCCACAAGTCTTAAAGTTGCCAAGGTTGGACACCCCTGGTCTAGACTGATTGGTGGAAGCAACTGTGACAAGATGCTGAGAATGACTGTTAGTAAAATGAGATGGTAGGTTTAACCTGTTGTGATTAATAAACTCAGAATGCAGGGTGTCAGGTTATTTATTTATTTATTTGCATCCCACCTTTATTATTTTAGAAGGTGGTGAACATATTCAACACATCTTCCTCCTCCTAATTTCCCCAACACAACAGTCATGTGAAGTGAGTTGGGCTGAGAAGAGAAGGACTGGATCAAAGTCACCCAATTGGCTTTCATGGCTAAGGTGGAACTAGAATTTCATAGTCTCCTGCTTTCTAACCTGGTGCCTTAACCAGAGTGTTATACTTGCCTAAATATTATTTTTATGATGATTGTAAATATATAAAAATCAGTTTAAATGGTTAAGATACAGGACTAGAAGTCATAGCCTCCTTAGGCACAGAATCCAGCTGGGTAACTTTGGGGCTAGTCCTGATCTCTCAATCCCAAGAAGAAAATGATAATATTTCTGAACCACCTCTGAAAATGCTGGCAGAAAAGCTACATAAACTTGTCCATAGAATTGCTTGAAGTTAAGACTGACATAGAACATAAATAAATACTTAATAATATATATTATACAGTATTCTTGTAAATTTTCTACTGTTTTAGCTTAAATGATCATTTTAACTGTGGTTCGACCACAGTTGCAAATAAAACATTTGTTATTCACCATGTTTATAAAGTTATTAAACAAGATGAAATCTTCTTTGAGTTAATTTTGATTCTAGGCAACTTCAAGGACATATCTGTATCAGTGGTGGGATTCAAGATTTTTCACAACCGGTTCTGTGGGCGTGGCATGGCTTGGTGGGCATGGTAGGGGAAGGATACTGCAAAATCCCATTCCCTCCCCACCCCACTAACCTGCTTTTCAGCTCCGTTCTCCTGTGCAGGGCAACAAAAGAAGACCCAGCTGGGACTTGGGAGGCAGAGAGTAGATGGGGGTGGGGCCAGTCAGAGGTGGTATTTGCCGTTCTCTGAACTACTCAAAATGTCTGCTACCAGTTCTCCAGAACTGGTCAGAAGCTGCTGAATACCACCTCTGGTCTGTATTATGTTCTCAACAGTATCTCCAAAGTATTTTTCCATTATGATGTTCAGGGGTTTTTCCCCCCAGCAGTACAGTCTAATCTAGTATTCCTCAACTCTTAAAATGGGTGGACTTCAACTTCCAGAATCCCCAGGCTGACTGAAGAATTCTAGAAGTCCAACTATGGAACTGGTCTGACTACCATCCTAGTATTTCCTGGGATTTTCCCATCTAAATAATGACCAGGCATGATCCTGCTTAACTTTTAAACCCAAGCAAGCTCAGTCACCTGCTGAAGCTTGAAAAATCATTAGATTTGGCTAATATATCCCAATCATCACAATGACTGATTCACACATCACACTAAGTTTAAAAGAAGCAAACCACATTTTGAAGTAGCACAGTAGATGAACCCAATCAATTAGTAATATATGTGAACACCAAATTCTGTAGGGTTTTGGTATATATTCAGCTTCCTCTATGTATTCTTTTTAAATATTCAAAATAAGTTTGCATTGCAAAGTTCCCCAACCTTTTAAAACTAAAGACTTTAAGAAGAAATACAAAATCAAGAACACAGCAAACTTGAGGTTGAAACTGTAAGAGTCATATCATATACATGTGCCCACAATGCATGAAAAATACCAGTTATACAAATATAGTTAAATATAGCTAAAATTACATACACATGCATGGATATACTCTTTTTATTATTTATTGCCTCCTTCTAGCTACAGTCCCACTGTTCTTTGCCTCACTATTATCTTGTCCTTACAAGATACTTTTTACTACTCACAAATGTTGTTTCTTCTGCTGGGCAGGGAGACACAATTTTAAGCAAAACATTGCTCTACCTTCAACTGGCATTTTCAAAGTATCCTAGAATTGTCAAATGGAGCTCAACAGCATCCTTGGGATTAAAAATCTGTTGTGGGACATCCATTTGCTTTGAATGAATGAATGAATGAATGAATGATTCAATCAATCAATCAATCAATCAAATTCAACTTTAAGCAAAACATTGGTCTGTAGTCAATTGACATTTTAAAAATGTTCTAGAAATATCATATGGGGCTCAGTAGCATCCTTAGAATTAAAAATCTGTTGTGGGACATCCATTTGCTTTGAATGAATGAATGAATGAATGAATGAATGAATGAATGAATGAATCAATCAATCAATCAATCAATCAATGACATTGAATGTTTAGGACCCAAAGAGATTTATTGAATCTATGGAATTTATGGACATTGCAGTTAGGTGCTTCTTAAGGGTGATCTGATTGTGCAAATTTGTATTTGGTGGCCTTTCCAAGCCCCTACTTGTTCTAACTCAAGTTGCTATCTCCTCCTTCTCAGTGATGTCTTCAAGCCCCACAGTTGGTTCTTCAAGCAGTTCCTCCATCCTTCCATTCTCCTCCTCTGTCTTTCCTGCTGTCAAACAAAAGAGTGCCTTTGCTCCTGTCATCCGACCCCAGGGGTCCCCTTCCCCAGCGTGCTCCACTGGCAATGGAAATGGGTTTAGAGGTAAGCAAACATCTATTTTCTTCACCCACCATTCTCCCAGAACTTCATCCCTATATACACCATAAGTTTTACTTCAAAGGTAATGGGGGGAGGGACCATGCCTCAACATAGACTTTGCACACTGGTCCTATGTGCAAAGCAATCCCCTAAAAATGATAGCAGAGTGTGGCACACAGAATTGTACCCTCACCTATCCCATTATCCTTCTTAGGTTTTTCCCACTGTCTTTGATTACACAGGAAGCCAGATCCTAACTAACAAAAAAATAATAAAAAGGAGTAGAAGCAGGAAAAGAAGATAAAATTAAAGTACACAAAGAAAAGAAAAGAGAAATAGAAGAATGAAACTTCAAATATCATTTATAGTATAAATACAATTATAAAGTTACCTCTTACTATGATTACAAAAAAAAAGCAGAATCTGAAATTGTAAATGAATTTTGTTCTGTTTTATGCAGAAAAGAGTTTTTGGTCAATTATTAATGTAAATACTGTTTTTTTTTCCTAATCAAATAAGTTAATTTAGCCATCTTCACAGGTTCCTCATCTTTGCCAATTATTTTCTCCATTGTGAGTGGTATAGAAAATTTAAGGTAACTTTTCCTTTGATGTCAGCTTGCAAGAGCTGCTGTAATACCAAGAGCTTTTGTGAATTCTAGTTGTCTCATATCTGGCAAAATCTCAGATCAAAGCTATCCAAAATTTGTGAGCACAACAATCATTTCATTATTGTTTCCTTACAATATATGCTTTTTTAATTCCCTCCCAAAGGCTCTAAGTCACTTGCAAATAATCAAGTATAAAATAAAAGTAATCACCAACTGCAATGAAGAATCCCATCAGACATCAATCCTCAGGTCTTTCCGAACAGTCTGGCGTTAGTGATTTTCTTAAATATTGGGCTGTTCCAAAGTAATTATTTAATACAAATGAATGAATAAATGATCAAACTAATTTGAATTCCCAGAACATTGTATCAGACAATATAATAGCACCTGCAGCTGAGAAAACATCAATTTCTTTTTTTATATATAAAAAAGCTATGCCATATATTGTTTTGAAAGGTCATTACATAAAATGGATAGGAATTAAAAAATGCTGTTTATAGATACATCTAAAATTGATAACTTATATGAATAAATGCAGAAACACAACACTTCCATCCGCATTTAAATCACCAGTCAAATCTTTCCCTTTTTTCCCTTTCATTCATTCATTCATTGATTCAGAAAAAGGGGATTTTGTTTAGAAACCTAAGACCAAGGTTGGTCTACTAGTTGAATAGTTAAGGCACTAGCTAGAAACTAGTTTTAGTCCCCCTTAGGCATGAAAGCTGGCTGGGTGATTTGGGGCCAATCACCAGGAGACTGGGAGTTCTAGATCCTCCTTAGGCATAAAAGCTGGCTGGGTGACTTTAGGCATGTTACATTATCTCAGCCCAATTTACCTGCCAGGGATTTTGTGTGGAAAATAGGAGAAGGAAGGAATAATAGGTATGCTTGCACCTTAAATTACTTTAAAAAATAATAAAACAGGAAATCTTTTTAAAAATTACAGTGACAATCTCATGAATAAAGTCTGGAAAAATGGGTTGGGGGAGAGAATATATGTGAGTACATTGTCTTTCATGACAGTGTCCTCTCTCTTCTGCCATCTGTAGTCTTGTTGACTTCTCATATTTTAATTCAATTTTCAAAGAAAAGCATCCTGTAAAAATGGTTTCTCAAGCTGGCAAGCGAGGGCTGCAAATGATGAGAAAATGTGAAATAGAATATTCTGATACTTTCAACAACAAAGGAAATTTAAAAACACCACCCAAAGAAATTTGAAAGACGCTCTCAAAATAACTTCCTAAAATAAGGTAGAAAAACTTAAGTCTTTGGTGCAAGAATTTCCAATTTTGGAAATCAGAAGACAGATCTTAATTATCCTGTGCCTTTCTTACCCTTCCTCTTCCTTATTCCAGCCCCACCCCCACTCCAACAGCTCAAAAGGTGAGGTGCAGGTAGAGAAACAGAAGGGTCTGTTGTGTGACATGCTATAAATTGTATTCTCCAGCACTGCCTTATTGATTTTTTTCCCCCTGCCTCCCCTATTTCAGTCAACAAAACGTAAAGCAGTCCGTTGACAGAAGTCTGTAGGCATTTCCAAAGATCAGACTTTTGCCAACTGGGTAATATATGCCTGGGAGCTTTGCTCCAAATCTCAGAAGTGACATGATCTGCCTCGGTGCTCACTGTACAGATTGAGGCTGGCAAAGCAAACAAAAAACAAAAAAACAGCAGTTCTCAAGCTAGAGATGCTGTTCTTTCAACCTGCCACAGTTGCTTGCCTTCAAGGCTACCTAGCTCTCCACCAAATATGATTAGTGCAGAAGTAACAGAGAAAGAAGCTTCCAGTTTAAACCCTTGAGGGTATATATATATAACAATTCTTGGCGTCTTTATCTGGCTGTAGGCTTTCAACTGTTGTGAGTGTAGCTTCCTTCTTGCCTCCCATAAAGACCCTAATGTATCTTAGCCTCCGATGATTCTTCTGCCAAGTCAAGTTGAGAAGCTGAGCTAAGGATGAAGTGTCAGTCTGTCAATGATTTATTGCTGTGTCCAAGGGCAAAGCTTCCCTTCTGAGGGAAGCATCACAGGGTGGGGGCTGAACATTGCCCTCTTTCTTTGCTTGCTTCAAGGCAGGGGGCATCTGCACATGTGCAGAAAACCATGGCAAGGCCAAAGATGCCAAAGCAGAGCAAAGCAGCGACTCCAATTTGAAAAGTAAAAAAAGTGAAAATGCCACTTTGCTTCACAGATCTGCTCCAATGCAGTGATTTTCAGTTGAATCAAGTCATTCCAAAGAAGCTCAGCGTGGGCCCTGAAGATGTAACTTTCTCCAGGCTAAGTGACATGTCAAATTAAATCGAATACTTATCATTGTCATAGAGCAGTATAAAGAGGACAGGGTAGATGCAATTAAAAAATATAATAGATATGTCAAGGTCTTGGTAATAACAATTTTAAAAGCTGAAATATTTAAAAGTGAAAGTTTATATAAGAACAAGAGTCTAAAAAGAATACAAAAGCAGGAGCTTTAGTAGGGGGAGCATCAAGGTTAGAAACTGGCAGACTATATGAAATTATAGCGCATTCTAATATGATAAATTAAATGCTGATTTAATCTAGTTTACGGTACATCATGTAGCTTTCTCTAGCCTAAATAACATGTTTATACTGAGGACTGGAAGAAAACATAGGAGTCCAACTCCTGGAGCCATCTCACCTAGTACTACGGACACTGGTGAGTGCCAGGGGTGGGATTCAAAAATTCCAGCAATTGGTTCTCTGCCTGGTTGCTGGGTGGCATGGCCATGGTGGGCGTGGCCTACCAGAACCTCCTGTTTCTGGCGTCCGATGGGCCTCCAGAACCCGAGGGAGGCTGTTTCTGCCCTCCCAAGGATCCGGAGGCTTCCCCCGGGCCTCTGGAAGGGAGAAAACAGCCTCCCCTGGCTTCTGGAAGTCCACCAGAAGCTGGAAACAGACCTGTTTCCAAACTTCCACTTTTTCTGGAAGGCCCGTTTTTTTCCCCCTCACAGAGTGTCCGCATGGAACCTGCACTTACTTCCATCGGAAATGGGCTGCGTGGAGATTCCTGGGAGGGACGGAGTGGGCGGGGTGGGGCCAGCCAGTCAGTTGAAATACCGGTTCAGCGAACCAGATGTAACTTCAACATCCGGTTTGCTCGAACTGGTCCGAACTGGTAGAATCCCACCTCTGATGAGTGCCATCTTTCCAGAATTTCAAAGGAACTTTTCGCACATTCTCTGCAGATAGAATTCAACCTGGAACCTTTGGCAAGCAACAAAGGTTGTAAATATCCATGTGTGAGGTCTCCTCTTTGGTCAGGAAGCTCATAGGTACCGACCAAGTTTACCTGGCCTCTGCAGTGATCCAGATGTTTATGTGTTTATCCTCCTCCTTTTTTTCTCTAACATTAGGTCAGACTTTGAAAGCTCAAAGCAGCCTAAGACCTAGTGAGATAATCAGAGTGTTGTGTCCAAGCTTCCACCTGCCATCTTGCACACAAGGTAGAAATAGGCATTAGGTTCTCTACTTCTCAATGATATAAGCATCCATTTAGAACAGGGGTGGGCAGCTATGGCAATTTTATGACCTGTGGACTTCAACTCCCAGAATTCCTGAGCTGGCATGGTTATCATAGTTGTCCATGCCTGATTTAGAGCAGAAATCCCAGTCGTCTTCAGAATCATAGGGCTGGGGAAAGGCAGACCATGCTATTGTTTAGCACCAGGCATGGAGCTCTTCACACATGCTAGAAGTGAGCTGAGCATACCCCAGGACAAACTTAGTTAATGGAATTATGGATTTTTGCATTCTAAAAGCAATCTAGGTTAACAGTTCCATTGTTTGGCCATGCTAAAGTGTAAAAATGGATAGTAGTAGCATGTAATTTAATATACTTTCTGGAAAGAGAAGAGAAGACAACAGCACGAAGGGTCATGCAAATTCAAGATCTCCTTGCAGCTTCCTAGAGACATCACCTAAGTAGCTATTGTGTCAAGAGGACGTTGGATTAGGTGAACCAGTCTGGATTTTCACCTGTTCTGCATAGCATTTGCATGATTTTATTACCAATCCTTGATGAAGAATATGCTGCTTGATGGTTCTCATTAATCTTACCCAAGGGAGGAAATCTATTTGAAACTTGGCTCCCTGAGTAGTGTTGGGAAAGACATGTGGATGCCCTTAGATGACCTGTCTGATGCCAGGCATTCCTGCTTTACACTCCCTGCATGCCATCTGCTCTACTTATTTTTTTTTTGCTCTGCATCCAGGCAAGGTAGGTAGGAACAGTAGGGCCTCATCTTTGTCAGCAACCCCAAATTGATTGCAGGTGTCCTGATCGGAGAAGCCTGGCATTGATTTTGCCCTGGACGTTGAGCCTGCTTAAAAATAGTGTGGAGAAGATGTAATGTGACATGACACAAAGCGG